GTCTTTCTCAGCAAAAACTGCTGCGATTGCGCAAAATCATAGAATAGCACTTGAACCGTTCTTTAAAGTTTGCGTAGTGACACTATTTGCAAAGAAATACGCAAACAACTAATAAAAAAAATGAGGACACAAATCCGTATCTTAGATGACTCATTGCAAAAAAAAGAAAGTTGATTGGAATGAAAATATCGCAGTCAGCTAAACTGTAGATGTCAACAATTCATTAAGAAGCTTCAATTTATTGTACAAAACAACATAACAGTAATCTACTGCCATCTGCTTTTCTTCTTTGCTGACGAGCCATTGTCATCGTTTGATTGGGAAGAAGGAGCTGAGGTTTGCTGAATCTGTGCAGCCTGTGGATTTTGGGCCATAATGCGAGCATTAATCTCGTCGATCTTCTTTTTCCATTCTGGGCGTGGGTCGGAAACAACCTAGACTTTTTTTGCATCACATTCATGAAGACCAGTATACGTTACACTTTATTGTATTGAATGATAGTAAATCCACATAAGAAAACAATGAACCAGAAGTTCCTCTACTGTTATCGATAAATTAGCGAACATATGGTGTGATAAACTAAATGACTATGCAGCTTAAAATGAAATAAAAGTTCTAACGTGCACTTCGCGTCCATGTTCGCTCTAAGTTAAGAAGGAATAAATTATTTCCAATTGATTTTCTACGGTACTGCTCCAAAATGATGGCGATCAAATCAAAGCTATTTCAGAGATATTAGAAAAAGGTGCTTACCTGTGGCCTTATCTTGGACGACTCAAGCTCGGATGGTTTGAAAGTAGCGGCAAAAGATTGCTGAAAAACAAACACGAATACAGATTTTTCTTCAACTTCAAAAATTTTACCTTAAAGGCATTTTTCATGGCCATTAGCCGACTGTTAGGAGCTGCTCCAACTGGACCAACATTACTGAAATGAATGTAACATAGAAATGTCGAAAATTGATGCAGATGTATATTGTCATAGAATAGCAAAACACTGAGTTCTATTACTCATTCACATGTGTAAGATGGCTTGACGTTTCGGTTATCAAAAATTTAAGATAAATATCGTTGAATATGATTAGTGCCAACGTAAATGACGTATCACGTCACATCCTGGCACCAGTGCTAGCCATTTTATTTTTAGAATGATACAACATCTTACTCCGAAGACGTCGCTGCCCTAATTGTGTCACGAACAGAAAGATTTGTAGTACCACGTGACTTCGTCTCCTTCAGTGGATCAAGCTGGGAACCTTCAATAAGCTTTGATTCAAACATAGGAACTAATTGGGACATAACTAAGTCACCTCCAATGCCCGGTGCTGGACGGGTTTTTGGCTTATAACCAAGCCCGAGTCGAGCTTTTGCTTTGGGTGCTCCACCTCCTTGGCCTCCTTGTCGCTGTGAACGGAACCAAGCAGACTTCATGGCAAGAGTTAGGAGAGCTTGAGGAACCTGCAGCACAGAAATACAGATTTTATTGCGGATTTCGGATGAAAGTATGGTAATACACAATATTTTGCTAACTTCTTGGTTAACACTTTCGAGATTTCGAACCAAATGTCCAGCCATTTCCATATCTTTCTCAGTAACAAGCGTGTATGCCCAGCCTTTCTGTCCTGGAAATTCGAATGAAGAGAATCGGCTGGTTTCCGTAAACTACCTTTCAAAATTCGAAAAGAACAATTAATCTTCACAATTCATGACTTTTATACACTCATCAACAGCTGGTGTACTAATATCTCTGCTCCTCCTCGACACAGACGACTTCACCACAAAGCTATACCAACGGAATCGCGGGAATCAAATGGTCATCAGACCTTCTTATAGTCAAAACTTGCTAAAAGCTGATATTTGAAGAGTATCCAAGTAGGATGCTTTAGAAAAACCAATCAAATTTTGACAAAAAAAGTAAACATGGCAGCACACGCAGGCTGTTTCAAAAACTAGTACATTTTCAAATCGATCGAAGATTCTGCCCCGATAAATTTCAAAAAAAGGGGTAGAGACAAGCGACTGGAAGGCATTTTTGGAAACTGACTTACTGAAAGATAAGGGCGCAGCTGTTGAAAGATCATGCCAAGATCAAGGGTAATTGAAATAAGATCCGGTTGTCCAACAAACTAGATAAATGAGCGGGGAAGAAGCTCTCCTCTTACCTGCTCTGCCAGTTCGACCTATTCTGTGCACATGCGTATCAATGTCCCTAGCGAGATCATAGTTAACGACAGTCCGAATCTCCGGAATATCCAAACCGCGCGCTGAAAAAATTACCATTACATTATGATATTCCCAAAGAGATGGATAGAGGACTGTGTAAACTGTGTACCTGCAACATCCGTAGCTACCATGATGTTAACTTTCTTGCGGAATGCTTGAAGATGTTCATTCCGCTCATGTTGTAGCATATCTCCATGGAGTAATACTAGCTCAAAATCGCGAGCCTAAAAGAAAAGCACTGGTTCGAGTCGGATGAAAAATGAAAGTATAATGCCATACTCTGAGCTTCTTAGCAAGATCCTCAGCATTTATCTTCTTTGTGACAAAGATCAGAACTTTGCCCACTAAAACACTAGCTTTTGTAGTCACCACGAAGAGCCTTCATAAAAGCAAACTCACTAGAACCAAAGTTGACAAGCCTTTGTGTGAGCCATACCCACTTCGTATCCTGTCGCGGAAGGACTTCAACCGTTTGAATAACATCAGCATTAGCCTAAAAACAATGTTGCGTTAGATCCAGTTCGTCTTTATAGTTACAAATTGTCTACAAGAAGAGCGACAAGACATGAATAAAGGAAGATACTAAGCAGTGATAAACTTTAAGCCTTGCAACCTAAAAGATGAACTGACCTCTCCAACTTCTCCCTGAACGATGCGTACAGGATCACGCAAGGCATCCCGTGCCAATCGCTCCACCTGAAAACAACTTAATGGATCGACGAAATTCAACAACGACAATTTGCCCAAAGAATCGTTCCGCCAATATTGTGAAGACGACATAAAGTGTGAGTAAGACGGAAGAGTAAAAAGCAATAGAATTATATAATTACACTTAAAGCTACAAAATCAAGATCAACATACCTTATGCTTGAATGTGGCACTGAACATAAGGCACTGACGGTCCGGTCGAATATGGTCGGAAATGGATTTCACTTGGGCCTCTGTAAATCAAGTTCACGTGTGTGCTCCCAATAGCAAACACGATATAAGGCAAAAACGCTATATAAGAGAAGAAGCATACCAAAGCCCATGTCAAACATTCTATCAGCTTCGTCAAAAACAAGGAAAGTCGTCCTCAAAAAATTTGTGGCGTCGATTTTCACCAAATCGATAATACGACCCTAAAAACTAAAGAGTCAGTGATTTTCTAAGATGATGAATGAGATGTTACTACACAACCTCCAAACGCCCGAAATCTGATCAAAACCTACAGGGGTGCACACAACCAACTCAGCTCCTTCGTTCTTTAGCTCGTTCGATTGCTCCCATTTGCTTCCACCTCCATAAGCACAAACAACATTTATGTTGTAAATTTTGCAGAAGCGCTTGGCTTCCTGGTAGACCTTGAATATATGCACTATTCTATTACCACAACTGGGCTGAAAAGATGAAGAGGAGAAAATCTCTTTACCTGAATGGCCAACTCTCTTGTTGGCACGACAATCAGTGCAATGGGACCTTCACCAACATCCAGATCGGGCTGATCCATGATATGCACAATGGCAGGCCACAAGTAAGCCGCAGTCTTACCACTACCAGTCTTTGCTATGCCAAGCACATCACGTCCGCTCAGAGCAGCTGGGATGGCCTACAGCAAGCAAATGCAACACTTTCAGTAAAAACAAATTGAGAAATCAAACGACCTGTGCCTGGATTGGTGTTGGATGTTCATACTCGCTTTTGCGAATTGCCTCCATCAGCTGCTTGTCAAAACCAAAATGTGCAAAAGAGCAGACAGGTTTTGGTGGATGAAAGCCGCCTACGCGAATTCCGAGTTGTTCACGAAGTTTAACCATTTCAACATGATTAAGCTTCCTGGAAATGAGCATTAAAACAAAAAACCTCAAAATTTCCTCAAAATTCGATCTAAAAATCTAGGTGAAATCATTCAAGAATAACTCAACTCAAATAAGTCCAATCAACAGAAAACATACTTGATTTCGTCATGCTCCACATAGAAATTCTTAGTAAACTCTGGAT